TATTTTCAGACCATGGTTGACTACAGGTAACTGAAACCACAGAAAGTGAGCCCATGAATAAGAGGGGACTACTATATTAAAAATAAAAGCAAGAGGGAAAATAATCTATTTTTCAATAGTTAGTACAAATACATAAAAATAACTGAAAAATCTCATGTAGCACATCTTTAGTTCAAATTATCAAAAATATAGATCCTTTATCACAATATCAGGTTTTATCTATATTTGGAAGTTGAAATCTTTATCTGTAGTTAATCTATACAGAAAATGTCTACTTTTTCATTCAAGTACATGTTTGTAATTAGTGTAATACACCTTATTATATCTTTTATTATACCTTTTAACTTTGCTTTTTATTAAAAGAGCAATGAATCTCTTTTATGTAACTTGAAATAAAATCTCAGCAACAAGAAAAGATAATAACATAAGTTAGTAAGCAACATTTCTATTGAAGAATACCTTTTACTTCTCTAAAATTAACAGAACTATCCTGTCACTACATAATCAGCCCCAGCTGATGTCTCAGATTGATTTGATCTTTTACTTTTTCTAATTACCTGTTATTCTTAATAGAAAACAATCTGATGAGTCAACTTTTCCTAACAAAAAGTGGCTATTTTAAAATACATTATATTGATTATAATAATAAATGATTTTCTGTACTACCACTTTCAAGTTTTAGGGGACTCCTGGAATAATTACAGTACAGTCAAGAGTCAAGAGAAGATTAAGAACCGTCTGATTAAATATGAATTTCTATCGTCTAACAATAATAAACAATAGAATTCTAGCATTGAAGAAATATAATGAAAGCAGAGTTTAGGAAGAGACATAAAAACAAATGGTAGAAAATCAGAAAGACGGATGCTAGAAGAATTTGGGATGAACCAGGTTTGACTTCTGTCATACAAAGGAACTTAATTATTTCCATAATATTATTTTTAGTTTACTAGCTATGGATCAATAGAGATTAATAGATATTAAACAAGAAAATAATCCAATAGATTTTCACTCTTAAATATTTTCAAAAATCCTTTCCTATAAGTTATCTTCATATGTTTCACCATGTAAGAGTTAACAGCCTAACTACTTTAACTTACTAACACAGGCCCTAGGAAGAGAAATAAATCAGGCCTAATAGCAATTCAGAAATATTCCATAAAAACAGTAAGACATTGCTGCTATTTTTAGGATTTTCCTTTGTGAACTATAAAGTATAATTATGCATGATACCATATCAAATAGATTGACACTAGTGAAAAAACAAGTTTACTTCTCTAGCTAACTGTAATATTTCAGATTTTCTTTTTCAAATCATCCGATCTTAAATGTTTAATTCATACCATCATATTGGTGTTTAGTTCTTAATTAACCAGTTCTTTAATTTGATCCATCATATAATTTCTTAACTCATGCTTTTAAAAGCATTTTAAAATTTTAATCCATTCTTTTTCTCTTATTTTTCCAATTTGCTTATTTTTCCTGTTTTATCTGATTTTCTACCATCTTATCTTACATCTCTATATTTCTAGAATATCTTTATATATTTCTAGAATGACTTTTTAATCTTATCTGTACATTTTCATTTAGTTTAATTTTAATCTCAGTTTTCTATTTGGCAAACAGTATATGCCATAATCAATATTTTTCAGTACAGTATAAAAAATGGTACCCTTTTCTCTGTAATTGAAATTTTTCTCTAGGTACTCCAAAGAATCTAAATACCCTAACTGTAAACCATCTTACTCTTATTGATATATACAAACTATCTTCTTTAAAGAAGGTATGAAACATGCAAAAATAGAATCAAAAAGTAAAAATTTGATGTATACTTCTGTCCAGGATTTTTCTATGAGAGACAGCAGAAACATTATTTTAATGGCTATATACTATTGCATTAAATAGCTAGACTCTTTGCCCACTGTCGAGCAACCACCACATTAAATTCGAAAAGCAGTAGCAGAACTCTGGATGGTGACTTAGTTAACTAGACTTATTGTGGTGATCATATCCCAATATTTACAAATATGGAATCATTACATTATACACTTGAAACTAATATATTATATGTCAACTATATCTCAATAAAAAATAAAAAACTAATTTCCTATCTAAAAAAAAAAGGGTAGAAAGCAGGAAGAACCAGCATCGATATGCAGGATAAATACAAACTTAATTAAATGGTAAAGAGATTTTGAATCTATTTTTAAAGCTTAATAACAGCCAATTGCAGTTTTCCAACCTTATTTTCCTAAAGAAAAACTTAAATTTGGAAAAGGTATGTTCTATTAAAAAAATTTAATGAACTATATTATAATAATTAAATTCCTCTCACTCCGGGCTGAGTTTTTAATTATTAGATGGAAATCTAGACTATTAATATAAAGCATGCATAAATATTACTAGATACTTCATATTACATAACATATGGCAATACAGCATAGTACTAGTTAAGAATACAGACTCTAAAGTGAGACTACTTGAGTTGGAATCTTGGCTCTACAATTTACCAGGGGTGTGACTCTGGATAAGTTACTGAATCTCTCTATACCTTAGTTTCCTCATCTGTAAAATGGGATAATGACCATCTCCAAGAGTTGTTATGAGAATTCAGTGAATTCATAGTCGTAAAATTCCTGGCACACAATAGGCCCTATATAAATGATTGTCATTTAAAATTTTTTAATATAGCTAACATTTTTTGAGCACTTAACTGTGTGCTAAGTAAAATTCTTTACGAGAATTTGCCTCAACAACAACCTATGATAAAGATACCATTGCTACCTCCATTTAAAAATGAGAAAATTGAAGCACAAAAAGATTAAATGACTAAGCTGAGGTCACACACAAATGTCGAAACACGGATTTCATTTGAACCCAAATCTGACCACATGGCTTACAATCCCAACAAAGATTACAAATTACATATACACTAGAAGCAGCAGCCTTCTGTTGCACTCTATCTTGATAAGGGAACAGGGGAGACATGAGAGACATTGCTGAAATAAATCAGAATATGTATTTCCTGGTAAAATAGAGTATTTTAAAAATTAATGATATGTAACTATAATACAGAAATATTTATGTATTAAATGATATGATGTCTTGATATTTGTTTTAAAAATAATACAGCTTGGGGGAGGGGAGAGAATTATAGTTAAATAATTATTAAAGCTTAGTGATAGGTAGATGAGAGTTCATTATTTTATTTTGTGTACTTTTGTGTATCCTTTAAAATGTTCATATTAAAAGGTTTAAAATAGAAATAGGACATATACTTTCATTATACAAGCAAATAACTTATGATACCCTGTATCAAAGATATAAAAGGATATGACATTTGATACTTATACATTTTACATTTTATATTTCATCTGTAAAAGGCTGGTCTTACTTTAAATATATGAGAATCCTCTCAACCAAAATGAAAAATTAATATAAGTATTTAGGTACAAACATGCAAATATACATATTAAATGGTTGTCTGAATTTCCATAAACTCGTTAAAAATATCTGCTTAATTAACACTCATTTTTTTTCATATCTTTCACCTGCCTAATAATCTCTATAATTATGACACTCTGGTTTGTTGTCCAGAAAATGGATGGGTTTGTACAGACAAATAGGATTCCATTCACAACATGGTTACAAACTGACCATGAATAAAGACCAGAAATCTGCTTCACTAATAAACACGTCTAATAATTCCTTATCTAAAATTGTACTTGATTTTCTTACTAATATATATCTTTGGGCTTCTTAAAAGTATAAATATAATCAATAATTTGAGAATCTCATATGCTCTAAATTACAGTTAAAAGGATTTAGCTGTTACTAAAGGAAAAAAAAAAAACATTAAGCCAGAATCTATACTACGCATTTTCAAAACCATCAGTTTACTAAATTTGAGATTATACATTTTTATAGAAAGAATATTAAGGTTTCGAGAGGTAAAATCACTTGCCCAAGGTCACAGAGCTATTACGTAGCTAAATTGTTATTCAAATTTAAGCTTAATTATAAAATCCAATATTCCTCCACTATACCAGACAACTATATAGGAAGCAAACACCTACATTCAAATATTTAGGGCCTTTTTAAAGTGGATCACAAAATGTTTAAGTTACTGGTTACATATATATTTTACAGTGACAGCTTGGCTTTGAGTAAAGAGCACCAACTAAAACACAAAAAGCATTGTTTCTGCTACTATGATCTTTTTTCCCCCCAAGTCTCTTAATTTCAACCTCAGGTTATTCATTTTTTCTATAGTGGAAAAATTAATATCCTGGCTGTCCAACTCAGGATTGTAGATTCAAAGATAATATACGTGAAATCACTTCAAAAACTACAAAAACAACACAAATAGATCCTTTCTTGTCTTAAAATGTTAAAAATGACATGACATAAAGTTTTCAAAAGTAACTGTCAGTTGTTTAAATTATTCTACATATCTATTAACATTTTCATGACTTCTAAAACCTTTCTTTCTAAGCATAGTTCAATCATCATCCCTATTACTTGGCTTTCCTCATCCTTAAAAACAATGCAGTAGTAATGACACCAATGCTTTTGTAATAAATAATTAATGTATCATTTTGAAATGCTCAGCAAATAAAAGTTCTGAATCTTCAAACTAAATGGTGTTTGGTGTCATTCTTAGTTATATTCACGATCTTGTTTGCACTTTTTCATAGTCAATTTATAAAAAGCTATTATTAAAATCTGGAATTCTAAGGTAGAACACCCAACACATAATTAACGATTTTGTGAGGTTTTTTTTAAGGCTTCTCAAAGCAGATACAAGAGCTAACAAGCACATCAAACACAGCAACAAAATTCAGAGAAACATTCAGCTGCTCTAAAAGAAGGATCAGGCTCTTTAAGAGAAAACTACATTGTATGAGTTTGCAAAGTTTCACACTTTCTCCTTTAAACTCCATTTCAGAGAAAGCCTTTGCATACTCACACAATATGCTTTAAAATGGCACTCTGCTGACCTTCCAATAGTCCAGCTCTATGAAAATTCTGTGATGGGTGTAACTTCAGAGAATCTGAAAAACACAAAAAGCATTAAGTACTTTTTATGCTGAATGATTTTTTTTAAAGCCAAGGATAGCATACACCTCTTACATAACTGTCATGTATTTTTAAGAGCTAAAGCCTATATTTGTGAATATATTCTCTGAAAAAAAGGCTGAATTGCCTCTACAGTGGTCTCTATGATAAACTTAGATTTTCATAAAGCATTTGTTTCATGGAAAATTATCTGATTACTGCACAAACAGTGTTAATGTTTTGACTATTTTTAGCACCCAATTGTACCACATTTGCCCTCCTCTAAGAATCATTTCTTGATAGCGTCCTGAGACTCAAACCTACGATATTACCAAACTACTTCAGGTAACGTTGCCCGAAAAACGTATTACAGGATGGTGACTGCCAACTAAAGTCATCAGAGCAACAGACAATGGCTACAGTTACTAAGTAGGACTTTGTGTACAAACTCAATCGTCAGTCTATAAAGTCTAGTACCTTCCAGAGTAAACCATCTCACTCCGATTCACTTAAACAATTTAAATACACTAATGTGAAACTGAAGTCCCCCTTTTTGGAGGGGGTGAAATCGGCGAATGAATACGTCAAACCAAAAACTGAAGAAACCCTAGATTTCCCAGGAAGGAGGTTCATAGTGGCACACAATTTTTTTTTTAATATGGTGAAATGAATAACTAGTAACTCAGTTATGTCTTTTGCCCCCTCCCAGTGGTTTAAAAAGTGATGAAGAGTGCAGTGGGAGCATTTTGGTCTGATGCCCCTTGCACAGGGAACCTGTTCTAACACATTCTTGTGGTGTCCAGTATAGGAATTTAATCCCACTAGATATTAGCTCAAGTGTTAATATTTTAAATCCTGGGAATCCCCTTCAGGCTTTAGTCAAAAGAGTTTTTAAATTGGGAACCTCTATCCAATGCCCCTCTCCCTGCAACGAACCAAGAACAGCAACGAAAGAAAATTCTCAAAGGACAGTGTCTGTGCCTGAGCTGGCACCCCTGGGACAGGAGAGGAATAAAACTAATATAGAGAGAGTACCCCTTTCTTTGTAAAATAGAAGAAGTAATTAGAATGCCACAGAGGTGGAAAGAGAAAAAAGAGAGAATTCGGGCCCTTTTCAGCAATGAGATGACGAGGAAAGGCAGAGAGCCTGGTCGATGGGGGCCGTCCCAGCAAGGGGAGGGAGTAGACTAGGCCAGAGGGAGAAGGGGTTAGAACGACGACGCACAAACAACCTGGAGGGGGAGAAAAATGGTGACCCTGCACCCAGAACCAGCTCCAGGCCACGCCGCCCGTTGGGTGGCAACTTTACGGGTGAGGATGGTCCTGGTGAGAGGAGCCGCGGCCCCACGCATCGCGCGGGCCACAGCGCCGGGCCCACTCCCAGGTGATCCCCGAGCGGGGGAGGTCGGGGTTGGCCGCTAGGAGCGTGGTGGGCCGGACAGGCCGAGGGACCCAGAGCGACTGGTGCCGCAGAGACCCGGGGGCCGACGGCTTTGGGGCGGCCGGCAGCTCCGCGGGGGAGGGGCCGCCACTCCTCCCCAGCCCTTCCACCATCACCCAACCCCATCGGCCTCTCCCCACCCCCTTAGGACACGCCATCCCGGTCCGGGCTCGGCCGTTTCCCCCGACGGGGACCCCTCCGGCTCCTCCGGGGCCCTGCCTCCCCGCCCCCACGCCCCAGCCCCCAACCTGACTCACCTCGCGAGTACAGGGACTTGGGCGATTCCAGGTCTAGGTCCGCGCTGAGCAATGAGATGAAGTCTGAGGGCATCGCAGCTCGACCCAGCCCGGCCCGAGGGTGAGGGCGGCTGCCACTGCCTGCTCCTCGAGGGCAGTGACTTCCACCGGGCCGAGGACCGAGGAAACGGCGGCGGGGTGGAAGGGAAACTCCACAGGGACTAAATCTCGGCGAACCAGGAGGGGGGGTTCAGGGCGGGGAAAGGGAGGGGGAGAGCCAACGGGTCCGTTTCTTGCTTCTCCTCAGCGAAAACTGACGGTCGCCGCCGCCAC